GGGGAGGGGGGGGGGTGAGAGAATCGGAAAATGGGGTCTGTTAAACGGGGCCCATCAAACAGATTTGCTTTGGCTTACATATTAATCTTGGGTCACTAATAGATGCACCCAACTTTTCTTTAGGTAAACGATTCAGATAATATGTGGTACTTGTTGTTTTTATTTCTACTCCCCCATCGAGACATTTTTAGATCCTGTAGAAGGCAGCTTGAGGGCTGAGTGGTGTCCAACGTCCTAGCAGAAGGACAGATACAATCCACCACCTCAGCATCAAAAGTTACTATCTGCACTGTACCGTGTTTCGAGAAATTTGATGGAAAACAATTTGAGTTTTACAATGTGTCAATCTTTTTTTTAGAAATGGAATTCTTTAAATATCTTGATAACAACTCCGAATAACATTACTGGTTTTGTTAGAGCAGATAGAATATTAACTGGTTTCTGGCCTCATGGTCGTAGTAACTCAAAATGACCAGAAATGTCAGATAGAACTTTGTGATTCAAGGGTAACGACTCGACAAAAATTTCTCCCCGCACGGGAATTGAACTCTGGTCCTCTGCGTTCCACGGAGAAGCACCTACCCGCTACATTTCAGACATAGACATCAAATATAAGCAAGACTTCTGACCTCTGACCTCTGTCCTGGTCATTTCTTCCGATGCTGTTCCTAGGTGTGTCTGCTCTAAACAAAGATATGTATTTTTTAAGAACCCTATTGAATGACATCGCTGCACATAGACGTGTAGGATCACAGTAAAACAAATATAGGCTAGTCGAAATGGCCGTCATAGACAGGTGGACACCTTACACGGTATAATTATAATGTAAATAAACACAAGGAGGGAATAGGACGTTGATGTATTTTTCCGACTATTGTAATATACAGGTAGCCGCCAGAGCAAGTTTGCCTGCAGTTTTGGATTAAAAAGATCTTAAAAATTCTTAGTCTTCTAGGTTCAAGGGAGAATATTTAGTCCTTCTTGTCCTTAGTTTCCAGTTATCTGATTGGTTCCCTTCAACATCTCGTTCAGTTTTTAAACCCACGAAACGCATGAGGGAGGGAGAGAGAGAGAGAGAGAGGGAGAGAGAGAGAGAGAGAGAGAGAGAGAGAGAGAGAGAGAGAGAGAGAGAGAGAGAGATAGATAGATAGATAAAGAGGGACAGAGAGAGATAGAGAAAGAGAGTGAGAGAGAGAGAGAGAAAGTCAGAGAGAAACAAACGCATTAACATAATTTGTACATACTCTTGTGTGCACATACGCATACACAGGCCCGATCGCGAACACACAATCATGCACTCCCGCTTGCACTCTAGCATACAGACACGACGGACAGGTGGACAAACACACACTTAAACACAGATACACATTCTAACGCAAAGACACA